ATTATCCTAATTTCTTGCGATTGATTTTTATAATCATTTTTTTTAATTATTCGGTAGTTGTAGTTTTAAAGTTAGTTTATAGTGGATTAAATTTAAGTTAAATTCAATATAGTTATTTTCTACAATCACTACATCTACGTGTCTTATTTCATGTGGTATTTAGTACACCCCGTTGACAATAGTTTATACAAAAAACTTAATCAACGATAAAACATAAATTAAGTTTTGTTTGTCACCACAGTGGCGGCCACTGTAGTGGTCCGTGTGAAAAGACTCTAAAAGTATGCTAGAATCGGTGTAAAATTTTTGACCTACGTTTGATCGAAATCGGTGCGACCTTTCGTAAGGAATTTTGCGAAAGTGCTTGATAATTTTCATTTTACTCTATATATCTACTTTTCAGATAACAATTTGACCTGATATTATGCNTGGCGGCCACTGTAGTGGTCCGTGTGAAAAGACTCTAAAAGTATGCTAGAATCGGTGTAAAATTTTTGACCTACGTTTGATCGAAATCGGTGCGACCTTTCGTAAGGAATTTTGCGAAAGTGCTTGATAATTTTCATTTTACTCTATATATCTACTTTTCAGATAACAATTTGACCTGATATTATGCCACCCCAAAAATCCCTACAATCTAGAAGAGAGAATGGTAAGCTTTTTTTAAATAAGCTGTATGGTATAAAATAATTAGATGTGGTCTGTATTCTGTCAAAACTGCCAGATGGGGATCGCGATTTCGATCTTTTTGGATTTCATCAACTTTTACCTGCTGCCTTAACAGCGCGTTTTAGAAAATACCACAAATAAAGCTCATCTCATATGATGAGATCCAAAAAGATCGAAATCGCGATCCGCATCTGGCAGTTTCAACAGAATACGGACCACTTCGAATTATTTTATTCGATTATGGTGACGTGCCTATCACGTTGAGGTTAGCTACGCCAGGATTCGTTTTAGCAAGTAGATATCCAAACAAGTGGACCATGTTGGAGCATACGTAATCCTAAAATGTAGCATCGTACTACAGATGGCGTTTACCGCGCCATTTGTGGTATTTTCTAAAGCTGTATGGTGTTATAAGACATTCTTTAGGATCAAAATTCATTGTGGTTTTCGACAAATGTTAATTATAAGATTTAATGAAGATATTTTATAATAGAAAGACATAGACAGGGACAATTTTACAGATTAGCGTTATAAACTTATTCAACTGTTTGTATTATCACCAGATCGAATTTACTTAGTCAGCTCTCTCTCCATCTGTACGATCAATAAGTAATAAAGAAAGAGATGTCCACTAACACATTCTATTTTTGGTCTCTAGACCAGGAGAATTTTGAGTCTACTTAGGGAAAAGGAGATTTTTATTTAACGATAAGTTATAATTTTGCCTTGCGTACGTTACTGTGTAAAATAAATTACCTATACTGGTAAGGAGAAACATTCACCGAATGTAGAAAATATACGTTTATAATTTAGTCAATGTGTGGAATAAATTTTTTCAACCACGTCCATTTGAAAATATTACTTTTTACTCTGACTGTTGACCGATTAACTAACCGGACTCTCAAAATATTCTGTAAAACCTTTAAAAAGCGTTTATTCGGTTTATATGATCATTTATTACAACACAAAATTATAAACGAAAACTTTCTCAAACTGGCATTGAGATATTGTTAAACAATTATATGATCGTATTAAGGGATAACATGGATAACTTGTATTTGATACTACATTTGATGTTTGCTCTTGGACCCATATGCGTCTTTACAAAATTAATTAGAAAATTAAAAAATCATTATTGTTTTGTTTTCTTTCATTTCGCAAACAAAGTTCGCGCCTCTGGACTAACACCAACATCAATGGATTGTAATGTGATATGCTTTGGATGAACGTCAAACACAATTAACTGGATATGAATGGAATGAAATGAAATACTGCAACGAATTTTATACTGAATGATGACACTACTTCAGAGAATGTGAGACGTTAATAAAATTCGGATTTTGAAAATTGATAATTACTAACTACATAAGTAGGTAGATCAATAAAAATAACCGTATCTCTAATAAAGGTGGATGGAATATTGTAGGAAATAAATTTCGAAATATCAATAATATAAATTTAATAGGAAANTTTATAATAATTTGTACGTATTACTGTACTATTTATTTAAAGACAATTGTACGAAATTCCCTATAGTACGCCGTATTTTTTATATTAAGGAAGTTTGGGAGGTACAATCGGAGACAAGAGTACATAAAATTAGAAATTCGTGATTAATTAGGTTTTGCAGCATATCATGAGGTAAATAAATACTATCTATACTAAAAAAAGTATACGGTTTGAGAGAAAATTTAATCTGTTCGGTTAACGAATCTCCATAAAATGACGTGTAAAATTACAATTTTTTAAAATTTCAATAACTTTTTAACGGGTTAGTGAATCGATTTGTAATTTTTACAGGAGTTTTAGAATTGAATGAGGAACGTTCTTCCAAATTTTTATTTGTCTCATAACATTTTGACATGACCTCCCAAAAAACATCCTTAATAGAATATGTTCAATTTGCAAGTCGTCATTGGTGTATGGAACTTATAGTGTGTAGAAATTTGAATAGTTTCAGAAGAGAAAATATCTCTTTAATGATATTCGACATGGCTTATAAAGTTTTTCTGAAATTCCATTTCATTCCATCAACCTAGGTACAAATATTTTTTAAGAGGTATATAATTACCGGAAAACATTACATACTCAGCTGTGACATAGGTACAGACGAATGAATAATTTTATGGGGGTTCCATTTGTTTGTGAGATAAGGAACCCGGTAATTTTGCAGATGATGGGACTTCTGACCAGAGGGGAGCAATGTGTGAGAAGTTTTGTTATGGTCTTGTACAATACTAAAATAGTAATTGTATGTGGTTGTGAAAAATCAAATATTGAAGAAGAAACTACCGCAACCTAACCTAACCTAATCTAACAGTAATTTTTCGACAGATTTTTGTCTAAAACCCCATTCCTATAGCTTTAGCAATATTTGATTCTTCACAAAAAATACAAAAATACTGAAAAATATTATGGTACAGTAGTTAAGGTTAGGTTAGGATAAACTCCCTGCGCTTCCACCTTTCCGCTCCCACTTTCTAGTGTTGCACGTCATCTTCAAAAAATGTAAACAAAAATACTAATCGGGATTTTTTTAAAGATGTTCAAACTTGTGACGACATTAAATTCGTTACATAATTTTAAACGACTTTATTTCTCTAGATTTCTAATAATACTTATGTATACAGGGTATTTCACGTAACCCGTTCATTAAAAGTTTTCAAACTTAAAATACCACTAGAAATTTGAAAATACGGCAAATAACCTAAAAGGTGACACTCTTTCTAATTAAAATATGCATTTGCAATGGGGAAAATTTCAGGAAATAGAGGGCGCCACACATATGAACGTTTAAGTTTCGTTTGAGGTTAAGCCGGTTAAGTAATTTATTATTAACGAATCTAATTAGTACTTTCCTTCCCGTGCAATCTATTGCACATGGAAATAAGATCAAAATCTTAAGTCAAAATTAGAAAGGAGATGTTCGTCATGTAGTGATACAAAGGTAAACCTTGTAACAAGGTAATTTGGGTAATTTTAAACGTCTTATTGCATTTTTTTACATTCTGACACTGTATACTTTCTCATTTTTGTTAAATTTTCTAAAACTCGAAAATTTAATTAGGCGAGAGACGTAGCGGGAGAAATGGTAAAAATCTTCTCCATTGTTCGTCACTTCTGGTTATACCGGAAGTCGATATCAACTAGCTTATTTTAAGTGGAATGGTGGAATGTTATATTTCTTATAAAATTTTAAGCTTCAACGAACCTTTTTAGATCGTCTTTGATTATACAACTTTATCTGAAAAATTAGTATTTAGTTTTAGAGATATTTCGATTTTTCTGAAAATTTTGAAAATTGCGTTCCCACGCTAAATAACGGATTATTCAGCTAGTTTTGAAACTGCCACAGTTATATTGAGTGAGCAACTATTTCGTACCTATCTGTATCTTAGTATTGTAAATGTATACAGGGTGTTTAAAATATAGCGACCAACTTATAAAATTTCGAGCATGCATAAGTTGTTTCTTAAAATGGAATACTCTGTATATAATCTTATACGTGAATGTAGAATTGAATTCTGCGTCGATTGATCTGAGGATTCCCTAATAGTTTTTAAGTTAAAAGAAATTAATTAAAAAAAGCCTTCATTACCTTATTAGGTACGTTTTTTTTTATTAGTATGTATTTTTATTTTTTTTTAATTTAATTTTTATTTTTTATAATTTTGTTTCAAATAGAATTTAAAAATTAATGAAGCGGATTTAAGATAATTAAAGTTAACGTATTTAATTACATTTTGAAAACTATTTTCAAAACGACGTTAGTGGGGAAGTTACAGCAAAATTATGCACGTTTTATTTTTAGCGAAAGCAAAAATAAAACTGATGCATTAAAATTTTATACACCCACCTATGTACTTCAAATAAAAGATAACTTTTAAGTTCAAAAAAATCAAGGATCACCGTTAAACCTTTTACATAAATGCGTGTATTTACCTACATTCTTAAAAAATCAATTAATTAAAATGAATAATTAGAAGAATGTACTGATATTATTGTTTACAGTAATTACCTATGTTTGCTGTTCCTACAAATTAGCAAATTTGGTTAAACATCAAATCGCATTATTTTACAAAATGACATCATTTGTGCAAGGTGAACAAATCAAGTTTCTTTGAAACTTATTAATGACAATTTTAAGCAACTTTTGTCGTTGTCGTTGCGGTAGGTATATTATTATGTAATATTTAATAAAGAATTATGTACTTTTGTTTTTATACTAATTAATTAGATAATTAATGTTTACGTGAACTTTAAACATTTACCTGTTGAGTAGGTAGGTACTTATTATAATCATCTTTGATATATAGAAAATTATCGCTTACCGAATATCTTCCATATAAAGTTCCAAATATCTCGCATAAACCAAAAATTCTACACCTGTTGTTCTATTAATATGGGACCAAATTTGTTCAAAAGCTCTAGGAATAATTCCTTGCATATCACTATCCCCAACAACACCTTCCATGGTGTGAGTTTTCCCTGTGCCTGTTTGTCCATAAGCAAAAACACAACCATTGTAACCCTCGAGTACCGAGGCTACCAGGGGTCGTACCATTTCGTCGTACAAGCATTGTTGTGAAGAACTGGAACGGTAATCAATGACAATCTTATGTGATAAAGATATAGGGGTTGAGAGTACCGTGAATCGTAAACGGCATCATATGTAAACATTTTAATCCTTTCATTGTCACTCTTAGCCCTTGGGTTTTTTACTTCGATAACACCACGATTAGGATAAACATCAACAATTTCACAACAGCCTGATAATTTTTCTTTTTCACTTATAGGCCTACATCGCACGATAACTTGCACTGCCTCGTTGTTGGCACTGCGTGCATTTTTCTACAAAAAATACGCAACCACATTTCAACATGCACAAAACCATAAAAAACACAATTTACTTACAATATTTTCACTACTTTTATTCATCGTGTTATTTTCATACCGCACCTAAAGCACTAGATACCGCAAACAATCACATTTTATTGATTTCCCTGCGCCAAGATGTGTCATTTTCAAATTCGAAGCTCTGTTTAATCACAACAGGGACATCTGGTGTGTTTCAACTAAACACCTTAACTGCAGTACGCGATCTTCAAGTAAACAATAATAATTATTCTATCTGTAAGTAGAACAGAACGGATGAATTCACTCAGGTGAATTATGATGAAAATTACTTTCAAAGCAAACGTGACAGGTAAATCTACCAAGCGAAAACAATTCCAACATGCGTGGTTTGTAAACTCATGACGAATTTTGAACAATAAGCTCGTTACTGATAAGAAACCAGATTAAAAAGTTTATCTTGTTTACAATTACAAATCCAATTAATTAATTTTTAATTTAGGTATTAATCAACGGGTAGGCATCGTATTTGTAGCTTACGATTAGATCGTAGAAACAGTACTGCAGTATATCAAATTTTCTGTATCATGTCCATAGCTAGATGCTGTAAATTGAATAAATAATTTTATTCGAATTATGTTTCGTTCAATGCAGTAATTAATATTAGTATACAAACACAATGCACCATAGTTGAATTGGTTGCCTATACATCAGTGAAATAAACGCAAAAACTGATGGTGTTTCCAAATAGATACACACAAAAGCCTGCTCGAGGTCCAACAGTTGCAAATATAAAAAATAGGATGTCATTTTTTGTGAAAATATCTTACGAAAAGAAAGGTAAGTTTCAAATTAGTTATTGAATGACAATTGCGAAAAATCGATTTCTGCAGATATTCCTATTTTAGTTAGTTTTAGTTTTAAACCCTTCCGGCTTTTGACCGCCGGTGATTTCTTTCGGCTATCCATAAAGCCACCTATAACACTAAAAATTCTTACTTCTAGGTTTTCCAATTTTCGAACTTCCATTATGGGGTCAACTTCTAATTTTCTTCATTTAACGAAGTGTTGGTAGACCATATTTCAGATATAAAAATATTGGCAAACTTTTGGATAAGATGAAACTCCTAAAGAGAGGGTTTATATAATATTCAAGTACAGGCAGTATATTGGCATCTGGATTTGTAATTCGCAATTTGAAATACTCCAGTAACAGCAAATTCAACTAGATGGCGACACATTGTCTGTACTTGGATATTGTACAAAATAAGTCTTACATTAAAATTTGCTATCATTCAAATTGAAAAGAAAAAATACATTCCCGTTATTATGCAAGTTCAATTGATTTCTTGTTTTATTTATGATAAATTTTGTTTTATCAAAATAATGAAAACATGCAGCAAAATTTGTAAAAAAATGGCTGCATGTATATATTTCAATATTAGTGCAAAGAACATTTAGGTATAATATTGTAAATATCTTTCTTCATAACTGTACGTTTGCGTACTTACTCATCTCTCACCATTTTTAATAACAAAATTTTACAATCAACCTAACCCTCTTTTCTTTATATCGTCCGAATTTCTGACTTTTCCCGTAGATTTTTAAAAAATTTTCTTTCATATTATCCTTGCCCTGATAATAATGAACACAACAAAAAAGGAATTAGTCAAATCGGTCGAGCCATTCACCAGTTAGTAATTCTACGTCGTAACATGTGGCTATTGACTTATGTGTTGTATAGATTAATTAATTACTAATGATTAATGATCATATTAAAGTATTAAGTTGCTGTGTAATATAACTTTTATTAAATTTATTATGGACTATTTAATGTCCTTTTTAAGAATTCAAGGTAAAAATTAGTTTTCTTCATAAATTTTTATTTAGTTGCTGATTTTACTATTCACTCGGCCGGATTCACTGTACAACAGCCAAAATGTATCCGCAATAAAATTGGCCAAATGCTACTATTTTTGGTGTTCTAAAGCCAAAAATAATCTTGTTTTTTAATATTAGTACAAGTTTTAATGATACGTGATGTTATGTGTCCTTAATATTGACACTATAATTACAAGTATGTACGTTGTATATTTGTGTTGTTATACCAATAGAGGTATTACCAAATATATATATTATATTACCAAATATATGTTTTTCTCAAGTTAAGGAAATATTGTACAACTTAGCAGTACCCCATGAGGGTCCCTAGGGATGGCCCCTCCACATTCGAAGTATCTAACTCCTATAGGACTTAAAGTAACGAAAATAGCCATTTCAACTCATGTAAATTCACAGGAGGTTACACCAAGATTTGCTGTTTTTTGTGTGAATGGGTCAAATGAATATAAAACATAAGCCATTGGTATAATTAAAAAAAATTTTGTTGCCACCACTGCATATCAAATTGGGCCTGAGGAAAAACTTTGTTAAGCCACTGAATAGAAATGGGTCTGATTTTTAGTACCTGCATCAGACATTCCCAAGGTTAAGTAAAGTTAACATTAACGAAGGTATTTTTGTTGGGCCTGCGATTCTGAATATTTTGGAACGCGAACATTTTGACAGCACTCAAACAGATATTGGCAAAAAAACCTGGGAATGACTTGCTTTGTGGTCACTAATTTCTTGAGAAATAAAAAGGCTGACAATTACTGTTACTTTTGTTGAAAATATGATGTCATGGTATTAAAAAATGGGTTGCAATTTGACCCTAAAGATCCATTTTCTACAATCACACCTGCACTTTCTGCGGAGCTGTAAGTGATGAGTACGGCGAACGCTTTTATCAAGATATCAGCAATGGAAAAAATGTACTAAGGAAACTGGAATGTCTCCATATTTACTGACTCCTGTTGGAATTTTGTTAGAAATGCTCCAGAAACAATTCACAAAAGAATAGCAAAAAGGCAGCGCATTTAGTGACTCCAAAAATATAAAAATATCCATTTGCTATAATTTTGATACAAATAAAATGAAACAACTTGTTCTCGAAAACTACAATTAAGTTTTTAAATTAATTTTCATCTTGGTATTCACCACTCCAAAATTGACAAAAATATGCACTTTTCATACAAAATACAACAAATAAATTGTTAGGTACACGGGGTAGTCGGGTAGAATTGTAAACAAATTGTAAAGTGTCCTATTATGTTCGTCACGTACAGTTTATTACAGTTTTATTGGTATTAATAGCCAAAATTCCCCTCGGCTGCATTCTTGTAGGTCCAATGACCGCCTACCTGGGGGTAGGATAATATTATGTTTGTACATTATTGTTAGATAGTAAGTTCATAGATTTTATAAAATTTTAAATTAGTACTATTATAGACTCGCTGGAGAAAACATCGTCTCCATAAGACAAACTCTATTATCCTAATTTCTTGCGATTGATTTTTATAATCATTTTTTTTAATTATTCGGTAGTTGTAGTTTTAAAGTTAGTTTATAGTGGATTAAATTTAAGTTAAATTCAATATAGTTATTTTCTACAATCACTACATCTACGTGTCTTATTTCATGTGGTATTTAGTACACCCCGTTGACAATAGTTTATACAAAAAACTTAATCAACGATAAAACATAAATTAAGTTTTGTTTGTCACCACAGTGGCGGCCACTGTAGTGGTCCGTGTGAAAAGACTCTAAAAGTATGCTAGAATCGGTGTAAAATTTTTGACCTACGTTTGATCGAAATCGGTGCGACCTTTCGTAAGGAATTTTGCGAAAGTGCTTGATAATTTTCATTTTACTCTATATATCTACTTTTCAGATAACAATTTGACCTGATATTATGCCACCCCAAAAATCCCTACAATCTAGAAGAGAGAATGGTAAGCTTTTTTTAAATAAGCTGTATGGTATAAAATAATTAGATGTGGTCTGTATTCTGTCAAAACTGCCAGATGGGGATCGCGATTTCGATCTTTTTGGATTTCATCAACTTTTACCTGCTGCCTTAACAGCGCGTTTTAGAAAATACCACAAATAAAGCTCATCTCATATGATGAGATCCAAAAAGATCGAAATCGCGATCCGCATCTGGCAGTTTCAACAGAATACGGACCACTTCGAATTATTTTATTCGATTATGGTGACGTGCCTATCACGTTGAGGTTAGCTACGCCAGGATTCGTTTTAGCAAGTAGATATCCAAACAAGTGGACCATGTTGGAGCATACGTAATCCTAAAATGTAGCATCGTACTACAGATGGCGTTTACCGCGCCATTTGTGGTATTTTCTAAAGCTGTATGGTGTTATAAGACATTCTTTAGGATCAAAATTCATTGTGGTTTTCGACAAATGTTAATTATAAGATTTAATGAAGATATTTTATAATAGAAAGACATAGACAGGGACAATTTTACAGATTAGCGTTATAAACTTATTCAACTGTTTGTATTATCACCAGATCGAATTTACTTAGTCAGCTCTCTCTCCATCTGTACGATCAATAAGTAATAAAGAAAGAGATGTCCACTAACACATTCTATTTTTGGTCTCTAGACCAGGAGAATTTTGAGTCTACTTAGGGAAAAGGAGATTTTTATTTAACGATAAGTTATAATTTTGCCTTGCGTACGTTACTGTGTAAAATAAATTACCTATACTGGTAAGGAGAAACATTCACCGAATGTAGAAAATATACGTTTATAATTTAGTCAATGTGTGGAATAAATTTTTTCAACCACGTCCATTTGAAAATATTACTTTTTACTCTGACTGTTGACCGATTAACTAACCGGACTCTCAAAATATTCTGTAAAACCTTTAAAAAGCGTTTATTCGGTTTATATGATCATTTATTACAACACAAAATTATAAACGAAAACTTTCTCAAACTGGCATTGAGATATTGTTAAACAATTATATGATCGTATTAAGGGATAACATGGATAACTTGTATTTGATACTACATTTGATGTTTGCTCTTGGACCCATATGCGTCTTTACAAAATTAATTAGAAAATTAAAAAATCATTATTGTTTTGTTTTCTTTCATTTCGCAAACAAAGTTCGCGCCTCTGGACTAACACCAACATCAATGGATTGTAATGTGATATGCTTTGGATGAACGTCAAACACAATTAACTGGATATGAATGGAATGAAATGAAATACTGCAACGAATTTTATACTGAATGATGACACTACTTCAGAGAATGTGAGACGTTAATAAAATTCGGATTTTGAAAATTGATAATTACTAACTACATAAGTAGGTAGATCAATAAAAATAACCGTATCTCTAATAAAGGTGGATGGAATATTGTAGGAAATAAATTTCGAAATATCAATAATATAAATTTAATAGGAAAAAGG